GTCCCTGTCTGGCTCAATTTGGGATGGTCACATCAACCCCAAGAGCAACTGGAGATGGGCCCTGGCAGCTCTGCTGCCTGTGTGCCAGGGCCCAGCACAGTCTGTGTGAGGGTGCAGCTGCAGCGTCTGGGGTGGTGGGGAGGGTCCAGTGAGTAGCAGCCTAGTGAATGCTCCCAGGGTATCACCTCCCAGGGCATCCACAGAGATAGTGGCAGCACATACCTTGCACAACGCAACCCTAGGAAGCACTGGGCGGGGGGGGATGCTCTACTCTATTCACTCCTTTGCAAGTTGAGAGAAGTGTACCTGACCCACAACCCTGCAAAATCCTACCAGCAAAGGCCCTGCCTGCCCCTGGCCTGTAGTGGGTCTGGATTCCAGCAGTTAGAGTGACTTGAGCATGGCAGTGACGTGTGCCTACAATCACCAGCTTCTCAGGGCACTCTGGCTAAATGTGCTGTGTGCAACAACCCCAGGGGAGGCGGGCACAGTCCTAACTAGCAAGCAGAAGTCTCCAGGCAGTCCTGCACCTGCTCCCACAACCCCACAAAAGGAACTCTGTTACTGCGGGGGCCTACACTGAGGCTATGCCCTGCAAAGATGTGGGATTCAGAAAGGTGTCTGGGGGGACTCCAAGCAGCTGGGCCAGGAGTGGGACAAGCAAGCCAGGATGTACAGGTGGCCCAGTGTGGCTTAGCTCCCAATGCCCTGGGCACAGGGATGCTCACTGGGTACTAACAGTGCAGGCCAGCTAATGCAGGGCAAAGCTGAATAGCAACGCAGCCTCGTCAGCTTTGCAAATAGAGACACTGGCCCTTCACTCTCAGAGCAGTACCCAGTACACAGCACAAAGCGGTTTGTGGGGGGAGGGGGAAAAGGAGAACAAGCATTTATCACCCATAAACAGCATCTGAGATTCCTCTGCTGCCAGGTGTTGCTGGAGTTCTCCATGTACCATGCTCCACAAGCTCTGGGGAATGGCTGGCAGAAAGGCACACCACAGGGTTGGACTGGACTGGGGGCAGCCATCCTGCACAGCCCTTTGATGCCAGCCTCTCCTCTGTGCACAGCAGTTGGCTTTCACTTTCCAGCGCTGGGCTGCAGGAGGGCATCTGTCCAGCCCACCATATCACTTCACCCAGCCAAAATGCTCTGGCAATGGCTCTCCCTCACTCTTTTTGGCATCCAGTCCAGGGGCAGAGCAGGGCATCTCCTCCACTCCCCTGTGAGTAGAGTAGAGTAGAGTAGAGTAGAGTAGAGTAGAGTAGAGAAGAGAACAGAAATGGTGACGTGGCTTCATGCTGGCTCTGCCCAGGTGAGAACTGCATGCTGTGGCAAAAGTACACTGAGCACAAATCACCAGCCCAGCTGATCTGGAAACAGGGCATTTGAGATAGGAAGTGTTTCAAGTCTCTGCATTGGCAGAGCTTGGCATTTCTCACTAGGCATTGACCACAGTTGTCAGAAGGAAAGTCCATTTGAGCCCAACAGGCATAGTAGTAACAGCATACCGGTTTCTACAGTAAACAGCGCACGAGGGAAGGGTGTGACTAGCAACATATCCAGCTGCCTTTGACCTCAGCCTGAATGGCCTGGTCCTAGTTATCTGTATCAATTAGGGACAGCCTTCGACATGAGCCCAGAGCAGCGCTTGAATCCACATCCTGAGGAGCCGTGGCAAGACACCTTTTCAGCAACATGTCCACACTCCATACTGTGCCTAACCCCTAGGTACCAGGGGAGGGAGAACCTCCAGTACTGACAGTCCCTCAGGGAACTGAGCAGGACACAACATTTCTCCAGAACTAAACAGCACTTTGGCATCAGATCCAACAGTCCCTTCTGGACATGGATGCAGAGCCAGCCTTAGAAAATGGTACACTGGGCAAACTTGTATTTTGGTACCCACTCTCCCTCATGCCTCCCTGCCCTGGTGCCCACCCTGTCCCCCATGCAGTATCCCCCAAAGTCACAGGTGTTGAACGG